TCCACAATTTGTAAAATGATGCATCATGAAACGAAGAGAGCAATCAAAGCCAAGGGGCAAGTGGAAAACCCCAGAAGACCTAAAAATAGCGAAGAAACCAGGCAACGGAAACGAAAAGCTATTTTCGAACAGACGACCGGAAGTAGCGACCAAGACCACATCGCCTGTAGTCGATACAAAACGTCTCGGCCATCTGAGTAGCTAGGCCTCCACGACCTCTCGCTGATATTCACGAAGGCTTTGGTATCCTAATACTTTTAAGGCTTGCTTCAAACATTGCACGTTTTTTTTTTTGTTTTTTTTTTGGAAATTCAATGCAGAATAAAATGGCATATGCAATTGGGATATGAGAAAGTAGGTTTTCGGGACCTTTTTTATCCAAGAAATGTGTATGGTATGCGGGGTCTCAGTTGATATGGTTGAAACATATAAGACACGCCAATCATTACATGCCCGAATCTGGCTGGTAATATGAGGACGCGTGTAACACTGATGGCAAGTCTGTTTAGATTTAGCAGTCACATGACTTTCGCGTTCACTCCTCGTTTACGCAATTTATATATATTTGTCAAGAATTTTTCATCGGAGTCGCAACAGACTGCAAGCAAGTCTAATAATGTTCTAAAAATCGCTTCCAGGTCTCACTGGATAATAAGATTGGTGTATGTATTGGTTGTGATTCATATGAAAGTCGCCAGTCTGCTTATGATCGGTAGCAATTACACGACGACGTATTCACAATGTGTATAAAAACAACAAATAAAGGAATATGCGAAATAACATTTCAAAGGATTCATATTTTGAAATTAATAATTTATTTTATTTAAATCGTCGTCATTCAACTTATTCAATCAATGTCGATAGTGGCCGTTTTAACAGAACATATATATGGCATGTTATAATTTTTCAAATTACGTAAGGAATATATCCAATTTGCATATACTAGTAACCTCTGCATTGTTTTGCTTCATATTCCAGCACTTTCACTAGTTGCTGTGAATTATGTACATATGAAAATTTCTGCTTACAAATTTTCCAGAGCGGATTTGGATTACAACACGATCGATCTAAATCCTACTTTAAGTCTATAAACTTATTTTGTGTATAGTGCCAAGTTTCTTTGTTGAGTACAACAACAAATATTTTGATGCTGTGAGGTCAATGTGATTTGTCAATGCATGGAAAACGACGAAGAATTAAAGGGGAACCTATACTATAAATAGGGGCAAGATGGCCACCGCCATTAGTATGCTAATCCGAACCAAGCCGCTCACATTGTGAAGGGAGCTCTGGGAAATGTGCCGTTTACGATGTTTATAGATCAAGCTTTTGATGTATAAATGTTGTTATTTTCAGTCGAAACGTGCCGCGACAAGGTAAAATCCTGAGTTTAAAATGGCGGTTAATGTATGCAAAATGCCTGTCAATCACAGTTTGAGTAAGCGAGCATAATAAGCATTCATTTACTTAGTGGGCAGAGGCTGAGTTAATTACCCATGAGCACGTGGTGCAATTCATGGGATTGAGCGGTTCCCCTTTAATCTGTTTCTATTACAGTAACATATTTTCTATGCAGATCATTGAATGCCGAGAACGATCACAATTCACTGTGGTGCGGGAGATGGTAGGATGGGAATTTTGTTTCAGTTCAACAGATGTTTATAAAACTTTCGAATTACTCATAATAGAAAGATAAAATAAATAAATAGAACAGCAGCGAGATATAAACAATTACAAGTGAGCTGCACACACTGTCGCTTTATGAAATTCAGTACTTCACAGCTCCTCGTACAAGCAGTATCAGTATCTAAGTTCTAACGCCGCTCTCTCGACTGGAAAACTGTGTTGAAAAGTAATCCTTTGTTGTTGCATTGTACACAAGACGATGAACAACTTGTTATGTCTTTCAACATCTCTTCACCCTTTAACAATTCACCCCTAGATGTGATAATTTCATCTCAATAGTAAAAATCCGTCGTCAAAAATGTAAATAATAACCTCATCGGAATCTATATTTTATTCTTACCCACAAGCCACACTGTGACTACCCCAAACCTTTCATTGAAACGAGTGGTCTGGGGAATACCCTGACCTATGGTGTTGACTTTCTGTTTGTAATGTTGTATGACAAGTCAGACAACTAACTATCATGTGAAACCAAAAAAAATCATTCTAAAATAACATACTAATATCAAATTTATTCTAGATTCACCCGGGAAAAAATCCTGTGCGACAGTAATTGTTTAGACGGAACTCAGTCTCGCTGTGTAAACTTGTTTTGGAACACGGACCGTGTTCACGTGACAATTTCGGGTTGCGTTCGCGAACAATACAAAGTGTTATTGACTGGCGTCATTCTAAATTTAATAATAGTTAATATTCTTTGATAACCTTTAGCATTACAACAATCATTTCAACCCACTCATGTACCAGTGATAAAAGTTCGGACAAGCGGTTATTGTTTTTAATAAGCGAGCGAGAAAAGAAATTGAGTGATATGCAGTTAAAAAGCGATAGAAGAGTGATATTGTGTGAAATGCGTACCGCTGCCCGTTTATAGCTTGACAAGCGTTCCTTAGCGAGGACATAATAGAATGAGTTGGTAGTACATGCGGGGAGGGAGTTCAGAGAGGGAACAGCCAACAGTCCTTTACGGGGAAAACGTGAAATCTTGTAATATTAGATTTTGAGGGATGCCGAGATAAAAAAGATGACTAAGTGAACCAAAAAGCATGCCTTTAGCGGCATACCAGTACTTAATTTTAACACCTTGGTTATTCTTTTGACATTGGCTGTTTTTTCATATGTAACGATGGTAATTTCGATGACGTGGGCAAGTGGAACATTCACATACATGGTGATGGTGATGATAATCGTATATTGCAAAATGTTATCATTATATATTATTAATTTTCGTTTGACTCCCCCCTTAGACATACATATTTCACTTTCATGTATAGTCACTGATAACCTTTGTTGGGACAGTGTTTTATAAGTAATACATTTCGTTAACAATAATACTACTATTTCACAGAATATACTATTTTATTCGGATATTCCTCCAATACATGTTTAATATTTTCAAAATGTGCACAAAGTTCTAGTTAAATTGTGCCAGGGTAATCTACGAGTGTTATAGGTACAGTTGTAATGTTAGTGTTTCTAGATTACTGATTATGTGTAATTGAAAAGCAAGGACTAATGCATTCTTACAATTGTTTCTTACAAAAAGCGACGGTTACTTAACGCCATGTTTGACAGCATATTAATCTAATCTTAAATAATTGTCAGCGGATGATACAACAAACGCAGAATGGGAAATAGTTTAGCAGTTACCACCACATTACTTCAACACGATTAATCATCGTGTACTAACTGAATGGTGTATGTCATCAGCTGGAATGATTATTGTACATGTTGTTACATGTCGTCAGTGAAATAATTTATCACATTAATATGCTTATTTTAAGTGTTGTCTTTCATTATTAACTCCAGCAATTCCCATTGCAGGTATGTATAATAGAATATCGCTAACTTCCCCATAACTCTGCTCAACTTTGCGTGCGTGCTGTTTTATGACAAGCTACGGTCAGCTCGTATGAAAGTCCGCTAGTATATTGAGCGTTTTCGAGTTTATTCGTCACGTCTTCAAGCATTCAACCCTGTGAATTCGATATTTCAACAACGGTCAAGTTTAAGGACAATCTTGCTAACTTGCCCATCAATTTGAATCTGTGCATGCTCAATAGATTACGGCAACCTTTTTGTGTCCACTGACTTGTTCAGCATGTGTCCGATGTAGGTAAGACAATAAATCAATAGAGTTGTTGGTTAGTAGAAAATAAATTATTTAATGCAATGCACAATCGGGGCAGGTTGAGTACCACACTGTATCAAAGTAAACCTGTACAGCGTACATGATTCAAAACGAAGCACATGTATGGTACATTTTGTAGACTACGAACATACGAAGTGTGTTTCTGAAAATCTAACTGCAATTGACATTTTCAGTTGAACTCTTTGTACCTTTAGAACTGACGTCAACACCCATACATAATCTGAAAAACTTGTTAATGACAGCCAAGATATTTGTTATAAGATATACCTGTAAGTTATATATTTGAGTTAAAATTTACTCAAGAATATTGTAACAATTTTAGTTTGAAATGTCTAAAACACTACTGTGCACTAAGTGTTGAACGATCAATATATGTACAGAGAATAAGTGCGACTACTAGTAATTCTGAATTACGAAAATTGATCATGATTATTGGTCAAAATTTCCATTACTGAACTTGTGATAACCATTTTTAAAACAATATCATCTATGTGATACTGGCCATATACGACTCATTTAACAGCGCCCATTTAACATTGCAAAACACAAATGTGTTACTTCTCTTCGGGGTTTCCAATCTCGTGAAACCATGTGCATTGATGGTTTTTTGTCATCTTAGTTTGCTGGTCCTGCTGAACTAACTGTTAATTCTCACTGCATCAATAATAAAAGGGAAGTGAACAACCTAATGTTTGTAGGAATAAATTACCACGAGGATACAACAGTCAACTCTACTGAAACGTTAAGTTGCAAATATACACATGAGGTTGCCACAATGAACCATCGATACTACAGCGCGGGAAATTAAAAAAAAATCGGCACTATGTGATTACACACTGTGATGAAATGGGTCTTTGATTTGTCATGTATTATATTTGGGGATACACATTGAATATAATCTACATAGAATTATCAAAATAAGAACCCGAGGAATACATAATATTACAGATAATGGCCTTGTCAGCCAATCAGATTAACGCACTTGTTCACGGATGGCATTGCCATCTTCAAGTCACCAAACCTGTGTCTTAACTTCAGAGAAACATTGTTATATTTTATGTGTTTATTGAATATGGGCGTCCACTGCAAGAATTTACTCAATATTCTCCTTTCACACACGCTCGTACGCTATGCTATGTATGTTTTATATACACTGTATGTGAATGAACTGAGATCAATTTGCTTCACTTTATTACCTTTTCAATTAATCATGCATTATAATTCATACAAATAAGTGACTAAAAAGAATTATTATTCATTAGCATATATTCTGATAACTTTGTCTTTCAGAAATATCTAAATCGGTGTCTAATATACCATTAGCGGCAATTATGTTTATTTCTGTAAAGAAAAAGACATATGAACAATAAAAAGTCCCGACTTTTATTGTTTTTATTATTTCAGTGTGAAATAAACTCCTGAGTTGCTATACTGAATATCTTACCGTGCACAACATATATATACAAATAACTGACGAGGTGATGTGTATGCGAAAAGTATTGTTGTTAACATCAACAATGAACTTTTGAAAATAATCAATCAATGACTTAACAAAACAACACTAACCGTATTTAGATGCCGAACGACACAGAAGTAACACATCTGCTATTGGAAATTTCACCTTGCCAATACGATGTATAGGAAGATCTCTCCCACAAACCACATGTGGTTCCAATGCCAATTACTGCACCATCTTTGTTAACGGATATATCAGACACTATACCATTACCATCCACATTTGTCCATACTCCTTGTATACCAGGTCTTTTATACAATTTGCCATTCATTCCAACACCTAGTATACTTCCATCTGGTAGCACCGATATGGACTTTACGGATCCACTATTTGAAACAGGGCCAGACCATTTTCCCTCAACACCAGGACGAGTATACAAGAGGTTGTTCATACCAATACCAACGATTGTACCATCAGGCATTACAGTTATATCCAATACTGAACCACTATTTGCTACAGGACCTTGCCAAGTCGCATCTAGGCTGCTCTTTGTCCATAATCGATTGTATGTACCCACACCTACGATAGTGCCATCTTGTAGAACAGTCATTGCAATCACACAGCAGCTGTTCGGTGCTGGACCCGTCCATTTTCCTTCAATTCCATCTCTCGTGTAGATTTTTTTTATCAGTCCCAATACCATATACTAAATAACGTAAATGAAATTAGTAAACTAAAATCTATTTTGTCAAAATGAATGTGTTTTGAAAACATCGAATTTTATTTTGTTTTAGCGTTTTAAACAATCAGAATATGTCCTTTCTCTGTTTTTTCTACTTTTTCTTCTATATTTATAACAGGTGCCGAGAAAAAAAAGTGTGATAATGAGAATGACGTCAAACTTGAATATCCATCTCACGAATCATCATCATTGTGTGTGAGTAATACATGGAAAACAGATATAGTTTTGTAAAATATGTAACGCCCATGAAGCATCTTCATACAACCATATAATGTGTAATGACTATTTGTTAAATAACGTTACTATATAATATTTCAATTCAACGCATACACACATGCCTGTTGCTACTGTAGTTTTGCTTTGTTTAAGTTATTTTCGGCCCTCAGGCCAAATCTAATGATCTCGTAATTATATCTTTATCTAAGTGCTGGAAACGCAAATGTGCTCCTCTCATAATAAGACGCGATTACTCGTTTTTCATTAAAATACAACTGACGTAATCACAGAACGTTATTCAGTGCGTGAAGCAACATATATGCGTCACAGTATTGCTAATGATATCGTAAAACCAATCTGTACAATTTCAGTGTACTTTGTTATGCAATGGTTACAAATACGTATGTTGCTATTCTGTTTTTTTTCTTTCATGCTTATTCAGGATCATGAAGGGGTACTGTGTATCTCAAATTATTGTTATTGCAAAACAAACACATTTAATGAAATAGACTTTAAACATGCATTCATGTTAATTGTGATGTGTACTGTTCGCAGTCACAACAATTGTATTGGGCATATTGTGAATATGCAACACAAATTGACTTAGTTACATATAATATAACTTACATGTAACATTTCAAAACAAATTAAATGTTTCGTTTAAAATCATACAATGACAGTGTCATTTTTGTTTCTTTATCTGATAGATATAAACAATGTAAACAAACTCACCTTTCTCTACAAACGACACAGAAGTAACACATCGGCTACTTGCAATCTCACCTTGCCAATACGATGTATAAGAAGGTCTCTCCCACAAACCACATGTGGTTCCAATGCCAATTACTGCACCATCTTTGTTAACGGATATATCAGACACTATACCATTATCATCCACATTTGTCCATACTCCTTGTATACCAGGTCTTTTATACAATTTGCCATTCATTCCAACACCTAGTATACTTCCATGTGGTAGCACCGATATGGACTTTACGGATCCACTATTTGAAACAGGGCCAGACCATTTTCCCTCAACACCAGGACGAGTATACAAGAGGTTGTTCATACCAATACCAACGATTGTACCATCAGGCATTTCAGTTATATCCAATACTGAACCACTATTTGCTACAGGACCTTGCCAAGTCGCATCTAGACTGCTCTTTGTCCACAATCGATTGGATGTACCAACACCTACGATAGTGCCATCGCGTAGAACAGTCATTGCAATCACACAGCAGCTGTTCGGTGCTGGACCAGACCAAGTTCCCTGAATATCGTCTCTACTGTATATTTTTCTATCGGTTCCAATACCATAAATTTCTGAACGTAATGTAATGAACACATGTATACATGAAAACTCGCTATGATTTTTCAATAAAATACTCTAGAGTATTGTTATTTAGGTATATAAGATAGACAAGACAAACGTATTTAATCACCATTGCTATATATACTTACTGTTTCCTCCTGCAGGGCAATTGTAAATTATATTGGCAAGTTCAATATCAGCGGCACTCAGATAATTACGCTGACCAATCTTAGCTTGATCGACAGGGTTCTTCGCGCTGATGGTTGGTTGACCATTTTTGCTGAAATACTAAAATAAATTGTTCGAAAACAAATGTGTGAATATTATAAGTTTCTTACATGGTACATTTTTCTTGAATTGATTAACAGACGCACAGTAATACTCGTTGCAATCATAAACTATTAGTATCAATAGGTGGAGTAAAATTATTGATGTACGACTACCGCCCAAACGAAAACCGACATCTTAGAAGACATTCGGCATTAGAGGGCGTACAATTTAGACGAGATGTACTATTCATTCATTTTCATTATATTAGTTTAACTATAATTCCTAAAACAGTTTACTTTTTTTACTTTACAGAGTTGATTATTTTAGTTATGATCATTTCTGTGCTGCTTACAACAGTCAAATATACTTAATATAGTGATTATGACGGTTGGACACAATTAGAATTTTGGCCGGTTGTTCCAATTATGTTGATTTTGATTTTGTCTGCTAGGATAAATAATTTTGAAGTTTTAAGCTTGTACTGTTGCATAAATCTATTACACTACTTAGTCATAGTTAAGTGAACATATCACAGAGTAAAATACATACGTGTGTTCCATAATGCATAATAGAGCCCGGATCATAAGCCACACCATAAGAGTTGATAGTTGCTGAAGTGTATTTACGAAAATTATTTTCCTTCCCGGATTCTATATTCTCACTGTGAATAGTTACATAATCGTCTCTATCAGATCTACTTTGTTCATGCCAGAAACCAATTGCATGACCAATCTCATGAGCTATTGTTCCCCTCTGTTGGAATAAAAACAATATTATCTGATTATCATGATATGAGGCATGCATATTATAATAATGTTCGGAGGATAGGAGTATAAAACTACAATATGTCATACAAAAAGTTGATCAAGCTTTCCTAATATGGTAATATTTTGCAATGTAGAGTAGACTATAATTTGCAATTCGGAGTTTTAAGATCTGCTATAGAGAACACTGCGTTTTCGACATTGTGAATTATTTTTTTATGCAAAAAAATACAGTATTTTTACCGAGTAAAATCATATTTATCATATTTATTAAAAATACACGAGTTGTTTGAAATACTACATAGTCATTCCATTCAGCTTCGTCCATATATAGCATACAGAAAATATTCTTGTGTAATCGGTGATTATACAAATTATTCATGGTGATTAGGGAATATATTTTGTTAAGAATTATTCTTAATATAAATTTATGAATTTATAAATTTATGAATTGTCAAATTAGTTTTTCAGGGTTTTTCTACAACAAATCAAAAACAATTTCACAATGTCGAAAACGGGAAATCTTCATCGTAGTGTTATCGGTCGCTTGTGTATCATTTTTTGAAGCGATTTTGGGCACTAATACTATTCTGGTCAGGTTGGCCATAGATGTATTTCAGCTGAATTACTGGTGTCAAATAAATGAATGTTTTTCATTGCCCGGAGTTTGTATTCATCATCATGATTTTCAAGTTATCTACAACTTGATTGTAGGCATTCCCTGCTTACGCACAATGACGTTCACGTAGAATCAAAAACCAGGTCTCAATCAGCAATCGGTTGATGGATGGCACTCAAAGTGCAAATTCCGATAACGGTTATGCCACACATCGCACTTGACACCCTTTTGGCAGCAGTTGGAACCAGGCAAAATCATTGGTCTAATTCGTGCCTGTGCTTAGTTTTAGGATTTTACTCCTGATCCTCAAAATCTACAATTCGACGAATTACAGACGAATAATTATGTTAATTACGAATAATGTTCGGCCATTTGTTACTCAAATACATTTCCTGTACCCATTGTTTATACTGACTGACTGTGACTGTACAAAATAAAGAAAATATAAGTGATAAGTATCACGTACATATTCGCACCTATATCCAATTGATATTTCTTGTGCCCCACCGGGATTCGAGACGCCCACGTATGACCAACATCTGTAAACAAATAATGTATTAGTAATTGTAATGAAAGTGGCATTCCTTGCTACACCTACGTCTACATGGTCATTGTGTCAACCCAAATATTGTCTGCCTGAAGTTGTCTATTAAAGTTGACATTAATATTCTTTTAAGCGATCTTTCATTAAATGGCATCTTGTGCATGAAACTCAGATAAAATTTTATTTATTTATTTATGTATTTATGTATTTATTTATTTATTTATTTATTTATTTATTTATTTATTTATTTATTTATTTATTTATTAGTTTATAATGGTCTTATACATATAATTTAGAAAATATGATGGTTGATGCTTATTTTTAAATGTTGAAGGAAATTGTAATCCACATGTAGTATTGTCATATATAGTAATTAAGAATATTTGATTACTTACCCGCTCTTTTTTACAAATCGGATTCTCGATGTGTGGCCTGCTGAAGCGCTATAAGCAGGAAATCTTAGACACGAAACACTTTCCCAATATTGGATTGCACTAAGAATTACATCTTTGTCACCTTGACCTGAATAATAATGATTAGAATAATACAATTAAGTCAACAAGGAAAAAGAATATCTAGTAAAAAAATGCAATTATGTAATAATTTTTCGGCTTTTTTATACCCTAAATCAATGCTATGATATATATTACGGCAATCAATTATAACAATTATAATATACTTAACTATATATATTTGTATACAAAAGTCGTGTAGGAAATATCGCGGGGTAAATGACAGCATTAATTGAAAGAGCAGTTCACAAAAACAAAACAAAGCTATATCTGCGATTAGTAATGCTCAACTTGTGTCGATGTTGACAAGGGTGTAGTCATGTTACTTAGTGTAAGATATCATGCAATAGATCTAAAAGACACAAAAAATAATTTTACACCAATTTTGGCCATTATATTTAGAAAGATATTTGAATTGTCTTAATAATGAATGTAACTCATCAAGAACTAAATTATCTGTGTAGAAACAAACATTGTTAAAATGCATTATTGTTACCAATTTCATATACATACAAACAGTCAAAGAAGGTTCATAACAGTTGTAAAGCAATTGGGCTGTTAGAAAGATATCATGATTAGGAACGTACCTAGTATCGAGTATCAAACAAATTGGGCTGACTTTGTGATGAAATTGAAAATATCGTAATTTTAATTATATATCACTATATATCACCACAAACAATTGCTTGACAGCCCAAATTAGTTTACAAAAAAAACAAATATTAAACAAACTTGACATTTTTTACACGAATAAAAATACATATATATAGATACCCAAACTTTGAAATCTTCATATTCCTTAGGAAATATAAACTCAAATGTATTAGGCTGTTTCATGTACATGCTCATCATATCAACCGGGAATAAATTGCAGTTCTCAAAATATCACAATTTCAAAATTTGAATTTTCAGTATTTTAAATTAAAACTATGCAATTCAAAATTTGGAATATCGCCTCAAAACTACCTCGCGAAGTACAATCTGTCTAACACTTCCTATCACTGCATATGCCTGCAAACAAATTTATGGGAGAAAAATAATAATAGCATGCCACACATCGTTACTAGATGTATCTGCGTTATTTATACTTTTATGTAGTTCAGAAAACTGTGGTAATTCATGTAAAATGATGTATATATCTTACTTGTAGATGATATTTCGTAAGGCACAATAGCACCAGGCCAACGTTTAGTTACATCAGCATGTGCTTTCCTAGTTTGGAGACCTTCTATGTCGTTTTCCAGTGCTGTTTTCTGTTCTGGTGTCAATATCATGTCCGATTCAAAGGCCCCCGGTGTCTCAGCTTCTTCAGGTGGTTCGGGTTGCACATCCACCTACGACAATTTCCAAATACAAACGCAAATGAGTTGTATGTAACATATATATTTGACGAAAGACAGTATTTTGATGCCAAGCTATTTGCAAATAAAATAACAACAATTAATAATATTATGTTATATATAATAACATTGGTAATGGTGCTAATAAGTTACAACATATGTTTTATATAAGTGGACTGAAATGTAATTGAATGTAATATAATACCATGTTTATGCAGCCCACGGATAGTGCCAATATTACAAGTACATGACGCAGCTGGTATGTTCTTCCCATAATTGCCAATGACTCAAAATCAAACAAACAATTCTGCAAGGTTGAAAGTCATTATCATCATCATTATCATCATCATCATCATCATCATCATCATCATCATCATCATCATCATCATCATCATCATCATCAATCATCATCATCATCATCATCATCATCATCATCATCAATCATCATCATCATCATCATCATCATCATCATCATCATCATCATCATCATCATCATCATCATCATCTTCAATGCGTTTATACTAAAAAAGCAGCTTACGCACATGCTCATTATCATGTATTACATATTTTGGACTATTTTTACGATCTTAACTCTGCTTTTCTGTGTTGCCGAGTTTTTTGAAATTGAAGAAAACAAAATAAATGTGTCTTGATTGTGTATACTTGATATAAACTTCTATTACATAGTCCAGAATTTTCATTTATTAAAGATGCTGAGAGTAATGTGTGACCAAGAAGCTGAATTATTAAACAGGCACATTTCTTCATCTTTACAATATAATCAGTGTGTAATAACAATATTCCTTATTGCTGAAAAGCTGTCAAAATCTTGTGGAGAGAGGGAACCAGCAGTTTTGTTTTTATTCTTTAAAACCATTGCACTTGTCATTCCACTGGGTACAAGCATGACATTTGGTAACACTGGACGTGACAGAGGTAGATGTTGGATTCCTGTCCACCATTCTATTGCAAAAGCTAGTGATTACACATGTCATGTGTCCATTTTCAATCCGCTTTGCGTGCAATATTTAGAGACACCAAGCAAGATTAATTCATGAATTAAATAAAAATACCCGGGTAGGAACAGAAACAAATATTCAGTATTTATATTACGACAAAGCGCCATGCAAAGTAGGATACCTGATGTGGTATTTCAACACGTTTGTCTACTGAATTCTACGATAAATAAAAAATAAAAACAGTATATATATTATAACGACAATTTTGATCTATTTACATAAGAGATGCATTATCATTCAAACTTGCAACCAAATGACATGGTACGAACCGCAAATGAATTCCTTTCTAAATAGGACAAATATTTCTAAATACCATACACAAAAAATAAAACAAGATCATTGAATGACCAGGCACAACTTATGATATGATCTGCCAAGAATTGTATTCACATAATGAACTAAACGAACGAACCTCTCAAATTCAAACTTGCAACCCTATGACATGGTAAAAAGACGGATTGCGAGTTATGAACCATAAATAAATCCCTCTCGAAAATTGGAAAAAAAATATTTCGAAATACCTATATAAAACAAGATCATTCATTGACCAGGCACAACTTATGATATTAACATGATCTGCTAAGAATTGTACTCACACACTGAACTAAACGGAAGAACCTCTTTGGACAGTGTGCAATGTGAAAATGCCGGATATCAAAGCATTTTTACGGTTATTCTTGTTTTACAGATACCTGCATTTCCAAATCACGAAACTAATATCTGAATTATGACGTCAAATATAATCCACATAGATATATTTTTTCTCATTTTGATTGTCACGAAAATATTAATAGATAAACAAAATATTAAAAATGACAGACCAATCACTAGTTGACCTGCATAATTTGGAAATTGGAGGAAATGAAAAAACATGACTAACCTCTCTGCGCAGTGCACAATGTGAGAATGCCGGACATCAGAACATTTTTACGATTATTTTTGTTTTACAGATACCTGCTTTTCTAAATCTCGAAACTAATATCTGAATTATGACGTCAATCATAATCCATATCACATTGCCTCTGTTCCCGGTCTGGAAACGGCGTGCGTTCTTTTG